ATCGCCAGTTTTAAAATTAGTCATGGGGATATAAAGTACATCATAGGGAATATAGTCAATAATATTACAATAACTATTTTTGGTGTCAGATGGGTACTAGACCTATCCAGGTAATCACTTCGTAAGGTATATAAATGTCTAATCACTGTGTTGTACATCTGAAACTAATATATGTCAACTGTAATTGAAAAATTTAAAAAAAAGATTTATTGGAAATACACAAAGATCACCTAGATGTTAATAAAATACAGTAAAAAACAAGTTTCATGCATGACTGAACTAGGAAGCCAGAAGAAAAATTCCAGAGCCAGAGCATCAATGTGGGTGCGAGGTCAGCAGATGACTGCAGACTAGGAGCTTTCATTTTAAATGCCCACGCAGGGATGGAAGACCAGGCCCAAGGTAGGACTGGAAGGAACGCTTAAGTAGTGCAAGTATTCTCACGGGAAAAGAAAAGAGAGAAAAGCTGTCACAATAACTTACAAAACACAGAAGCAGACGATGTACCATGAGTCAACAAATGCAACAAACAAGGTAGAATTACAAGGAGATATTGGCAAATCCACAATCAGAAGGCCACCTCATCACTTCCTAACCCCTTCCTGTGACAGGCTCCCTGAAGTCCATACTGGGAGCTGAGCGACGGAGATAAATCAGAGGGAGTCCTTGGCTAAGAGGTGAGGCGTCAGGGAGAGGAGGAAGCCAGAAGTCACTGAGAAGCGTTAGCACTGGGAGGGGTTGATCTGAGTGAGAAATTAATGGAGCAGATCATTGCTGGACCCACTCAGAAAACACCAGAAGACAGAGCCAGTTGAGGCCAGTAGATCTTGACCCAAGTCTCAGCTCCCCAGAGTTGGGTCTTGGGTGCTGGGTGATCTTGTGGAGTCTTGAACTGGGACACTCAGTAAGCAGAGCCCTGGGGTAAGAGACAGAAAGGAGCAACCAAAAGTTTTAACCCAAAGAAGTTATCTGTTGTTTTCCCTCTAGAAAACAAATGAGTTTACTTTTTTAAATAAACTTTATTTTTACAACAATTTTAGATTTACAAAACAATGGCGAAGATAGTACAGAGAGTTCTGATGAACCCTTCTGCCAGTTTCTCCTATGAGTAACTTTTTACATTAGTATGGTACCTTTGCCACAATTGATGAACGGGGTGGGGTGCCACACCTCCACACCTTTAGAGAGGGCACTGCAGCTCTGGTAGGAACAGGAAGAAGACTCCGAGGCCCCAGTGAGCTGAGGGTGCAGAAGACAGGAGGCTGGATGGACCAGGTTTCAGAGTTCTAGATCAAGGTCCTCACCCCACCCGCTCTGGCTGCGGACTGGTACTAGACCACACGGCCTGTTGGGAACCAGGCCACACAGCAGGAGGTGAGTGGCAGGCGAGTGAGCAAAGCTTCTTCATCTGTATTTGCAGACGCTCCCCAGCACTAGCATCACCGCCTCAGCTCCACCTCAGATCAGCAGGCATTAAATTCTCATAGGAGCACTGGTCCCCAGTGCCAAAAATGTTGGGGACTGCTGCACTAGATCATGGCCCCACTTTTCTTGCAGGCTGCAGGGCTGGGCCTCAAGGGCTCCCCCACCCTCATCCCGGCCTCCACTTGCCAGACTCCTTCTCATCTATCCCTGCCAGGCCTGCTCAGCAGCTTTAAGCAGCCTCATAAATCAGTCCCTCCTGCCCTTTTATATGCTCTTGGTACACACAGCCATCTATCGGCAGCCTGTTGGGCCTGTGGAGCCTCGAATAAAATCTCCCTTCCAGGGCTGGGGTCTCAGGGAGAAGCCCCCAGTGGGATGTTGTCAGCACCTAACAAGATTTCTTTGTTCTGCCTCATCAGGTACTGCCGCCCTTCCTTCCTTTCCTGTCCAGCTTCTTCCCTTTGCGGTGTCCCAGTCTATTCCCTCCGTGATTATCTGTAGGCCTATTTGCATGTCCCTCTGGGAGAACTGTGTTCCTCTTCCCAGGGTTAATCCCCTAGGGTGAGCGTCCAGGAGGATTTCTGGCAGCCCCCAAGCCTCTGAGTGTCCCAGTTGTCTCCCAGATCTGAGGGTGGAGCAGCTGCCAAGCACCGCCCTCCCCCACCCCCCACCGGCTTAAGGCAACTGCCTTGGTGTGGCCACCCTTCCCTTGTGTTCATGTAGTATCTTGCAACACTATGAGACCAGTTGAGCAGATGTTATCATTCCGATTTAGAACACAGGAGAGGCTCAGAAGTTAAACACCTTGCCCCAGGTCTCATGGTTTTACTTTCATGGTCCCTTATCTCACACCTCAATGACTTTGAACATTTGCAATTTTGTATTTTACTTATGTGATTACTCGAAGTCTGTCTTTCCCTCCAAATAGGACAGCTTTGCCCACCACTCTGTCGCCAGTGCCTCGCCCACTAGCTGGTACACAGATGCTCCATAAATGTTTTTAAATTATTAAATGAATGAATGAGTTAGAGGAAGAAGATTCATTTATTCGTTCATTCAACAATAGATTGAGTGTCAGACCATTTGATGGGTCGTGGGGATAAAAAGATGAATAAGATATAATCCCCACCTTCGAAGAAAAAGTCTTGTGGGGAAGATAGACTTGTAAATAAAAAATTACAACATAATGCATAAAATGCCATAATGGAAATGTCCCACGTGCTATGAGAAAACAGGTACTAAGCTTTTTCTGGAGGGGGTGCCTTGAAGGATGAGTGGCAGTATGTTTCCTGCAGTGTTGGAGGTGGGCCGAGTGAGGGAAGGGTATTCCTACCCCAAGGGGCGACAGTGAGTCCTGCAGGGACCTGATATGCTCTGGGAAGTCTTGGAGTAACCCGGTGCAGGTGGGACTTGAAGCCAGGCTCCTGGATCTTTCCCTTCACCACATAGAAGTCAGAGATTTCCCACCTGTGCCCCCCAGGCTCTGGGTCTGGGTGGATTATACACGGGCCCAGTCCAGGGTCCAAAGACTGTCAACCACCTGTCATTCTCCTTCAATGACAGAAAAACCTTTTCTGTGAGGGAGTTCCACATCTGAGCCAATCTGAAACCATCTTATGAGATTTCTTGAGCCAACAGCTTATATATAACCTCTCTGTTCTGCTCCCTGCACTCTCTCATCTATAATTCCATCCAACACAGCATCAAGCCGGTGGGCCCCAGCTGTCTGCAGAAAATGTCATGCAGTCTTTCTCTGCTATTTCTCCTGTTAACTCCCTTCTCTTTGACAGGGATTTGGCAGAGGTTTGTCTGACTTTCAGTTCCAGATACCATTCCCTTTTCCATTTGTTGTGTCATGTAATGTGTTGTAAGGTATTCAAGTGCACGTGTGTACACAAAAGAGAATCACTACTCTTGGGAGTCGAGTTGGGCTGTGGGCATCACCTGAGGTGTGAAGGAAATAGAGGTGTTTGTAAGGAGCACCAGAGGGAAAAGTCAGTGCAATCTATTGTGTGGGGAGCAGTTGGGAGTCATAGGTAATAACTTAGGGGCTCGATGGCTGAGATATTTTAGTCGTGCTTGCGACAGAGGAGGGTCTTGTATCACAGTGATAAATATCATTGAAAAGTGACAAATGTCAGCTCAGTGGAGAAAGCCCTGCCACGATGTTTCTATAGTTGGAGTAATTTTAAAAGAGGAATCTAGTAATTTTGAGCTAAAAATGACTTCATGGATTTGCTTTCGATGCTACCGAAACACACATGTACACACCCTCCTCACCCATGGAGGATTCCTGGATCCCTCCCCTGCTGTTTTTACATCAATTTTATTCTTACTTGTATCTTTACAGAAAATGGCACAGAAATCACAGGTTTAGAATACCTAGAAGTTATTACAGTTCCATATTTCAAACACCTCGATATCAAGATTCTTTCTTCTCACTCTATGTACAATATTTACACACAAGGGGCTACAGCCTAACACTTCAAACCAACAGGGGACAAAGACAAGAAGAACTGAGGGGAAGTTCCATGAATGGAATGAAGAAGAAATCAACTTCTGATGAGGAATTAAAATCTCAACTCACTGTCTCAGGCCTTCCTCTCTCGAGGTATTCCCTGCAAAGGTAGGATGGTAAAGAAATGTCATGAGGATGAGGAGGACATGTTCATGGCCTGGGGGTGGAGGGGCAGTTCCAGAGAGGCCATCAGTATGGACAGGTCCTCTCATCGGCAGACAGGAAGAAGCCCCCAGCTCCCTATGCCAACATGGTCACTGTCTCCGACTCACTGTAGTGGACATGCACCATGACATACACCTGGCGTGAAGGTGTGTGTGCCTGTTGCTTAGTTTGGGTCTAAAACTGGCTCCTGCCTTACTCTCCTTGTAGCCATTTCTCATATCCTTCTGTGACCAACCCCTGATATAGCCCCAGGCCCATTCTCAGCTTGGCCTCCCAAGGATAGCTTAGATGAAGTTGAGTCAAGGTCTGGGGCTTCCTAGATGTTTTTTTAACAACTGGATTGGGTTGCACCAAGGCAGGGCACATGTGAACCAGTAATTTGCGAGAAGCTCTAGGTGAAGGGGGATTTGCACAACAAGTCAGGGTCACAGGCAGCATATCAGGGGTGTCAGGATGCTTCAGAATACAGCCCCAAGGGGCTGGGGTAGAGGGTTTGGCCTCCCCAACAGTGCAGAGAGCCATAGCATTTTGGAGAGGCGCCCTCTGGCTGCAGGGCACAGGTCCTGGCGTCGCTACAGGTATTGTACATTGTCACATGCAGGGCTGGCACCTGTGCTGGAGGGAATCATGGGGCAGCTTGGGGTGTGGAAAGGGCGGGTTCCTGAGGGTGACTTGAGGGCATGAGATGAAGGATGGCCGAGAGGCCCAGGCTGAGACTTCTCAAGTTTAATCTGGACTCTGGGCCCCACTGATGGGGTAGAGCAGAGGTTGTGCTTGGGCCTGCAGGGCGGTACATTCACACGGTGGAACAGGATGAGGGGAGCAGAGTTTGGCGAGGCCTGGGGCGCTCAGGACATTGGCCCTGGAGCGTGGGTCCTCAATCCCTGACAGGGCGTTTGCAGCATGGGCTTTGGGCGTGCGGGAAGCAGAATCCACCGGGGGTCAGCGCTGGGAAGAAGGGCTCTTAGAGCAAGAGATTGGCTTAAGGGCAGATTCAGACAGTGAGCGTTGCCAAGGGATTGAGTGAAAGCAGCTTGAGGGGGTGGTTTGGGGCAGCAAGAAGGTTTCTGAGGCAGGGCCGTTGGGATGAGGAGGATGCTGAAGAGGTCGAGACTATGTAGAGGATGTCTCAGCACGGCCCAAAGCCTTGGCCAGAACTGAGTTGTGCCTGAAGTCACCTGGAGGTCATGGAGAGCCTGTGGGGCTGGGGGAGGGTGGCAAAGACCAGGCTGGGCTCTGCCTCAGAGGACACCTCCCAGCACCACAGGCCCCGAGAAGAGCAGAGTCCTGACGCTCCAGTGGCAGTGCACCCTTGATCTAAGCCATGTCCTCAAGCTGTGGCGGACTCAGCTTCTCCGCTGGCCTGTCTTCATCCATGGCCTCCTCCTCCTCCGGCTCGTGGGCATTCCGGGCCAGGCTGTTGGGCCCAGACACAGTCCCTAGCACTTTGGTGCTGTGCTCCTGAGCTCTGGCTCGGAGCGCCGCAATGCTGTTCTCCCTCAGTTCCTCCTGGGACATGGCCGCTGGGGGGTCGGGGCCCCGCTCCTCCTGCTCCGTCTTGTCCAGCTTGGGCAGGGCCTGGCGCTCCACCTCGGGCTTCCTCCCCGACTCAGCTGCTGCCTCCAGCGATTTTTTGTGCATCCCTAAAAAGAATTGTTGGTATTCGGGTTTAGAAAAGCGCCTGGGAAAGCCATCTTGAACTGAAAACGGCAAAGATAGAGAGAGGCCAGAATTAAGGACAAGCAGAAAGCCTTACTTCACACACCGCAGTCACGCGAGTCCCGGGGCTGGGGCCAGGGCAGCAGGAGGTGGCTGGGGGGCTGCAGCCGAGCAACTAGGCACCAGGCCTGCAGAGGGCTTCCCCAAGCCAAGCCCCGAAGCACCTTGCCCCCAGACAGCCTGTTCTGTCCCTTCCCGAGCATAGCATTTGCTCCCCATCCCTCCCTCCTGGGAGCCCAGATCTTAGAACCCCAAGACAAACTGGTACTGCTATCAGACATAGGCCCGGATGGCAGGCGGGGGAAGATGGCAGGTGGAGAGATTTAGAGGGAAGAAGTCCTTTGGGCAAAGCCAGATGGTGGCCAAAGGTACCCAGGGAGTCCCCTCAACCCCCAAGAGGGGCAGTCTCATCACAAGCCCACCTCCTACAGGGAAGAGCAGGGTACAGGTCCTGGAGCAATAGTCACACCCTCTTCATAGAAGAAAAGAAGCCCCTGTCAGGGGCCTGCCCAGGATGAAAGTCCTAGGCACCCATAGGTGGATGCAAGGGATAGATGCCAAGTCCCATGCCCAGCCTGCCCTCAGAGCCCACCAGGGGAGACCGGAGGGCTTGGAGGGCCTCCATCCAGATGGGCTGCTGTGGCCAGGTCCCTTTGCTCCAGGGCTCTGTCTCCTCCTCCGGGGAGCCCACTCTCCTTGACGCAAGGGCAGGGCCACGAGGAGGGTGTGCGCTCTTACCCAGCAGCCATGGGGCACAGGAGTCCATGATGCCATCCTTGGCGGACTTGAGGATGGACTCGGGCAGGGGGATGGAGTGCCGCACCATGGCCCCATACAGCCCGTACTCCGCCATGACGCTGCTCCGGCCCCAGCACTTCTCTCGCTTTCTCCACTTGGCTCTGCGATTCTGGAACCAGACCTGCGAGTGTAGACGAACAGGTCAGGGGTGGGCTCTGAGAGGCAATGGGGCCCGGCCCTTACCCCCACGACTATCTGTTTAGGTCCCCACCCCTTCTATGCCCAGTGGCCCCATCAACTTGTGACTGCTGATTTCTCCAGCCAGGTGCCCTCGACGACCCCACAGTACCCTGGGGGGTTCCCCCAGGCTCAGGGTTATCCAGAACGAAGACCCGAGTCCCATGAGAATACAGTGGATGAAACGGGTCCTTCTTTTAAATTTCTTTTTTAAAATCAACAGATCCAGGGCAATGGGATAGGGATGCCTCTGGGACAGGATCTTGCAGGTGGGCAGTTCCCAGTGTGGTCCTCAGTTTGCACCTGAGATGCCAGACCCTGGTAGCTCTCTTGAGAGTGTGGACACTTCCAGCGGATAAACAGAACGTCTTTTCTGACTTGCAGAGGGACAAATTCCTTTCAAGGACAGGACTAATGTGTTCAGGGTTCCCTCTCCACCAGAACTCCAGAGGCCAGAGCGGCCAGTCCCAGGAAGCCTTCCAAGCGAGCAAAGGACATTTCATCCAGGTATTCTGAGGCATGACAACTGCCCCGCCCCAAAATGGAGTTGGGGATGCTCCCAGGAAGCCTGAGTCAGCTCTTGTTTCTGCCCTGTCCTGGCTCAGCCCTCCCATGCCACAGTGCCTGCCACTCACCGGCTCTCCACAGTTTTGGACCTAACTTAATGATATTTTGGGGAGTTGGGCAGCCATCTCTCAGTCAGGGAAGGAAGACAAAATTATCAGTGGCATGAGGAGCAAATGAAATGGGGACCCAGGAGAGTGTGGTGGGGACACTCTAGGGAATGTTTCTCTGGCCCCCAAATTGACTGGTGCAGGGTCTGAGCTGGGGTGCCTTGGGGATGTCTGGAGCACTCCAGTGCTGCATGGAGGAGCTCCCAGGGTCCCTGCCGTGCTTGGAGAAGGGGCGATTTCTTGGTCTCCCAAAGCAGCTTTCTGAGACTTCCAGCAGCTGACAGGAGCCAGAGCCAGAACCAGGGACAGCTGCACTATCTCTCAAGCAGGTGAGGCCGGCGAGAAACTGGTGGGCTCTGTAAGGACCTCAGGCCCTGCTGGCCCCCTCATGTCCCCTCAGAGCCCCTCAGAACCCTGACCCCCAGAGCGGGGAGATGCCCAAGGCAACCCAGGAAGTGGGGGGAAGAAGGGGAAGGCAGAGGCGGGTTCCAGAAAATCTATTAGTTTCCTCTGCGATTTCCATTCCCTCTCCTCGGCTGGGTCCCCCGCCCTTCCCTCCGGGCCCCCTCCCCCCGCCCTAGGCAGCGGAGGTTTCAGCTTTTGATGAAAAATTGCTCCAGCTCTATTCAAGAGGCGGCAAAAGAAGAGTCACCCCCAGGGGCAGCCCTGGGCTGATTGAAAAATAAGTTAATTTCAGTTTGAATCGATGGGCCTCAGGCACTGAAATATCACGGGAAATTAAAGCGGCTGCTCTCCCGGGAGTCGTGGCATTGACCCGCACTAATTAATGCTGGGGAGGCAGCGCGAGCCGCGCCGAGAGCCGCTCCCCCTCCCCGGGGGACCCCAAACACTTCTCATTTAACTAATTAGACGGGGAAAATTGGGTGTTAATTTGTTTAGGATTTTTTCTCTTCTTCTCCCCACCCCCCCAACCCCGCCGCCAGCTCCCTTCCCAGCCCCCGCCCCATGTGGAGGCGCAGGAAATGAATGCGGGACTCGCCGGCAGATGGCTGCCCCGGTCACTCTGCAATCTTCTCCGACTTGATTGCTTGATTAGGTCGTTAGCACATTAAAAAAAAAAATTGCTTGCCGTCTGGCGCTGGCGTGATGAGTGGGACGCGCGGCAGCGCCTGGGTAATTTATCTTTTTATACGGCAAAGAATTTGATTTCAATCTGCAGATATATGAGGCGCCTTTGACACCTGTTTAACATCGCGCCGCTGACAGCTTAACCCTTTGCTGCTCGGCCGCAGGGAGGCCAGGGCTGGGGCCGGAGGGGCTCGGAGTCGGCGCGCCCCCGTGGTTCCCACCGCCGCCGCTAGGTGGCGGAGTGAGCGCCCCGGCAGCCCGCGGCAGCTCCGAGTCTGCGGCTGAGCGCGGCCAGCTGCATCCGGCAGGGGGCGCCCCAAACGCCCCGCCTCACGCCCACCGTCCCCAAAGAACCCGGCGGTCACAGACAAGCTCTGCAGGACTGCGGAAAGACTGCGCCATCTGCGCACAACTTTAAGTTAACCCAAAATGTGTGCAACCTTGTTTTGGAATTTCTTCATTTGTAAATAACCAGAACCTCTAAAAATGAGAGAAACGCGGCCTCAGAGGCCAGGTCTCTCCACTTCGACATTGGCCAGGGTCATTAGAAAACGATCGCTGGTCACACTCTGGGTGGGAAATGCCTATGCTACCACCGGGTTTGGCACCTGCCATTCCTAATCAGGCCCTCCTGGGGGAGCTGTGAAGCCTCCCCCTGGTCCAGACCCAGACTGTCCCTAGTGACCACGGCCAAGCAAAGGGTTTCTGTAATTTTGAATGCACTAGATGGCTGCGCTCCATGCTCTAAGGAGGGAGAGCGGTGCGCAATGTGAGCCCCGGGCCAACTCAGCCATGGTCGTGGCCTCGTTCTACGCTGTGTTTAGATCTCTCTCCCGGGCCGCCTGCCGGTCCTGTAGGCTTTCTGTCTGACTACCTGTCCTACACAGGGCCTGCAGTTTGTCTGAGACCTCTGTCCTGTCCCATCTTCCCTCCCAATAGCATTTGATCGCCCTCTCCAAGTACCCACTTGTCCCAAGCCACTTTCTTCCCACAGAGGAAAAATCTAAAAAGATTAATCCACATACAAGTGTAAGTGACTTCTGATTTCATCCATCTCTCAGAGAAGACAGCAAAGAATGAACCCCTTGGTGATGGAATTCTAGACTCTGAGTCAAACCACAGAGGGATGGGAAGGTTCTCTTTATGAATCTAAGTAAGCCATCTGCTTTCTGGTCAGGAGATGACTTTCCTGCTTGAACACAGTACATTATAAAACAACAAGGCCACAGCCCCTTAACTGGAGCATGTGGGCCCAGACTCCAGAATGTTTGGGATTTTAGAAAGAAGAGGTGATGCATATGCCACATGTTACATAACACCCTGCAGCAGCAGCAGCAGCAGCAGCGCACCGTAATCAAACCCATCTGTTTTGATTTCTGCAGCAAAACCTATACAATTCATACTAAGAGGGATGAATAAAGAGCATAAGGTCCAGTCTGGTTTATGTCACTAATGAGTTCTGATGGCAAACTTAAGACAGAACTGTCCATTTCCAGCATGGTTTGGATTTAGGGATTCTGGAGAAGGGACTGTGGAGTATAGGAAGGCACGGATTCCATCCCCTGCTCCCAGAGTGGCTGCCTGGGAAGGCATATGGACCTGGCTTCTCCAGGATTCCATGAGCATTGGTGCTTGAGATGGGGGCGGGGCTCTCTAATGGAAACAGCATTATTACTGGGACACTAAAGAAGAGGGTGCAGACTTGGGATTCAGGTCATATTTGGGGCCTGTCAACAGAACCATTTTCCTGGGTCTCCTAATTTGGGCATGTGAATAACTGGTCTGCAGATCAGATTTTACCCACAGACACTCCCAGGGGAGTTGGTGCCAGCTGGTCACTCAAACCAGGAGTCATCCGGACCCTCGGTTATGGGCTCCTGGAATGCCTGGCTCTCTGAGAAGACCAGATGCTGCTCCAGTTTATGGAAGAAACCTGGACAGCCAAAACAATTTCTTTTTAAGACAGTTGGCAGGGAAGCTGCAGTAATGGTGCCTTGGAGGGAAGTGGACAAGGGATTAGAATTAACTCTAACCATTCTTCATATTTGCCCTGCTCTTCTTCCTGGAAGCAACCAGCATGTGTTCACAGAACTTAAAAGTTTACAAGAAGCATCGAAGTCAGCCAGTCCTGAACTAGAATTCTCAGCTCTAACAAAAATTGCTGTATGATCTTGGGCAAGTTACTTGCCTTCTCTCAGTCATAAAATAAGACTATTACTTTTCAGGGTTGTTTTGAAGAGTGATGAAATAAATGAAAGTACCTAAAAGCAGTGCTTGTCACACAGAAGGTGCTCAAGAAATGCTACTTATTTCCGTGGAGGCACATAAAAATCAGTGGGAGTGCGCTCAAGGGGCAGGTTAATCGGTATTACCTGCGCCTCTGGGCTCTTCCACATGGCCCGTTAGCAAGGCAGGACTGACAAATGACAAGAACAACTGATGGTGGGGGTGGGGACAGAACTAACCTACAGGCTGTGAGATTTTAATAGCCTCTAGTTTCCCCTCTAGGCATTGGGAGAGCTAAACAGATGCCCCTGCAACTCTCCCCACATTTCTAGTGTACGGCAGGCCCTTGAGGCACGAATACAGGAGAGCACCACACATTGCCCAACACCACACATTGTGATCAGGGGCTAGAAGACCAAGGCTGGGGATCCATGCTCCGCCTCCAGCTGCCTTTGTGACCTTGTTGTATTTCTTAACCTTTCTGAGCTTCCAGTCCCTCATCTGCCCTGGGATATCGCTTTCTTGCAGGGTTCTTAGAAAACAAAATAGTGCATGGGAAATGCCCGGCACATAGTAAGAACTAAACAACATTAGCCTGATGCTGGGTGAATTCTGTGGGTAAATGTGCAATGAGATGAGGCTTTGCTGTCCGGCAAATGCTCAGTGACACTTTTCATGTAAAGCCAGTTGCTTCCATCTCTCGCCCTTGAGATTCCTTCTCAGCATTTGGGCCCTTTTTCCTACTTGGTCTCTTGGTTCTGGCAGGCCCCAAATATTCAATCAATCCCTCTCTCGCTCACTTACCTGACTGCCCATTTTCTAGAAGAGACTGCTCCTCTCACATGGGAGTCGGGTCCGGAACTCTTCAAGAAAACCTGCGTCAAGGCCTCAGCAAGGACCAGAGCCCTGCCTTACACTTCAGGGCTCTGAGCTCCTGAGAAAGGACCCAAAAGTG